GCGATTGCGAATGGACCAAGGGGGCCCCGCTCCCTACCTCGCACCAGGCCCTGCATCAGCTAAGGACGGCCCTGATTTTAACCCATATGACTTTATTGTTTCCAGGGAATACAAAGAGAAAAATTGTAAAACAATTGTACTGGCCGCACTTGTCCATGCAACCAAAAATCTTAAAAAAGGTGTCCGTATGACTTGTGAGGTGTATTCCAAGTCTTATGAGGGAGGTCATATAATATCATATGATAACTGTTGAGTTTCAGAGTCATTACCACAAGTTGAACATGTGAATGATTAATTCAGGCCAATTTTATGAACTGAATCAGCTGATTCTTTGAAAAGACTCGAACAATTTTCGTAAATCAAATATCATTAGTTCTTACAATAACATGGCAAACTGACCCAGGGTGAATGTAAAACTGTAAATTTCAGCCATGTTCTCATTCAGATATAATGAATGCATTCATAAGACTTGGAAAAGAGCACTATTCATATGGACCGCCTTCATGATACTTTGATGGTGCTTTTGCACCTTTATGATTCTTATATTTCTTTTTTGTGTGTGTGTTAAATAGAATCGCAAGAGTGAGCAAATGATGACAGAACTTTCATTTTTGGGTGAACTTTCCCTTTAACTTTTCTCACTCAGATCTAATGAATGCATTCATAAGACTTGGAAAAGAGCACTATTCATATGGACCCGCCTTCATGATACTTTGATGGTGCTTTTGCACCTTTATGATTCTTATATTTCTTTTTTGTGTGTGTGTTAAACAGAATCGCAAGAGTGAGCAAATGATGACAGAACTTTCATTTTTGGGTGAACTTTCCCTTTAACTCTCCATCCCTCTCAGTTTTAATCAGGTAATCTTTAGTGTGCATCCAAACCGTCGACCATCTCCCTTCACCTGTTTGTTCTGGCTCCTGTAGTGATTCTGTGTACAAGACTATAAGAGCTGACACATGAAGCAGGGAGGAAGTCCCACGATTCTCACACATGCTCTCTTTACTGCTTTCTGTTGACTTTTTATTGAATTCAAGACAGACCAAATCATCAATGTGGCCATTTTTACATCAGGCTGTGTCTTTAATAGTACGGTGTCGAAAATGCAGACATAAAAGTCTTGAACTGGTTCTGCATTGTACGGGATTCTCATCCAAAGAAGGAAGAGGCCTGGGCACAGCTAAAGAGGCGACACTATCCGCTCTTCCAAATTCCATATACTATAGCATCACAAAAGCCTATTGCAAATCGGAAAACAATTTGGGACGAAGGACATTCTTAGTTAACTGGCTTGCCAGTGATGTAACCTGGTATAACAAGAGTAAAGTGCATAATGCATGTCTGATGATATAAACTACCTTCATTTTAAATGTGATTGAGATCTTTTCATCAAGAACAGAGCTATACCTTATTGAAGCACAGTGAATAAGTCCTAAATGTGATCATTTCTAAAAGCTTTTTTTTTGTGACAGGGTGGGGTTCGGGGTGTCGACTGGTGTTTTGTTTTACTCTGTTTTGTTTTTCAAGTGTTGATGGCACTCGAAAACATTAATATATGCATTTCATCATCTAACTGAAAACATATATCCTGTATGTGAAATCTATGTGTATTATGAGCACTAATGAAAGCCCCTGTACAGCCCCCGTTTTTCTGTCAGTGTCTATATTTCCTCTGATAATTTAATGCCAGTTGCTTTAGCAATACATGATATAAAAGCACTTTTAGAATCTTGAGCACATTCAAAACACAGAGCGTTAACCTTTACAAAAATGTTCTTGTCAAACACTCTGCGTTTACAACTTTACTGCAGATAAAGTGTTTATTCAATAAATATTATGTGAGGGACCAGAAAAATAAAGAAGCACAAACAAAAGGGAAATAATTATTGCTTGTTTTCTTTTGTGGTTCTGAACATCTGTATTCAGTATAAAGTGGCTCCAAAAGTATGCGTAAAAATGTTTGAATTTCATTCCATTTAGATACAACATATTAAACTAAGTGGCATCCTGAAACAAATGATGTTTGAGTTTTTCTCAGAAATAATGTCACTTTTATTAGCCATTTATGACAATTTTTTTAACCAACAGGTCTCAAGGTGACTTTTATGTGATGTATGAAATCAGTTTATTATGTAGAACAGTATCAATTGATTTATCATTTAAAACTTAAACTTCTTTTTGTGACATGTTTTCCTTGAGGGGGGGAAAAACACTTGCTTTGATATTATATATTTGATATTATATTTGATATTTCTTTAAAACAAAAGAAATTACTACAATTTTAAGTGTGACCTAAATGAGATACTTTCTGGGGTAAATGAGGGTGCAGGTATTTACCATAAAAAAAAAAAAAAAATTTAAAAAAACCCATATAAGTGATGTCAACTCTCTGACCTTATTATGTTACTGCAGTAGTCATGATGGATGATAATGATAGATACTGAGTCGAATGAGTGTACCTGAAGCTGCACAAAGAGCATCTGGTGGAACATCTGCTCAGTCAGTCATGGTGCATCTCTGAAGATTCAACGGAAAGCGAAGCATTAATTAGCAGATGAAATACAAGCATAGATTTGTGTGTGAGGATGTTACTGAGTTGTGTCCATGTGCTGTGCAGTGTTCTATTCAACTAGGAAAGTTGAAATTTCCAGTTATCCGCTTGGAGAAGTGCACCAGAAAGTCATTAGATTTGAGACGTTCAACTTCAGCAAATACAGTTTTACCAAGATGCGAGTCTGTGATTTCAAGCAAACATGCCTGCACTCAGGCAGATGTACTGTACACATTCACATATTTACTTTTTAAGAGATAGTTCAGCACAAAAGGCTGCAAAAGCACCATAAATGCATCATAAAAGTGGCCCATAAGTCTTGTGCACTATATTCCAAGTTATTAACTTCTTAACTTCAACTTCTTAAGTTCTTTTGAAGTTGCATAACAACAAGAACAGCTAAGCAGAGCATACTTAAATATTCAATAGATATCAGTCGATCGATCAACCGACCGATCAATATATATATAGATAGATAGATAGATAGATTTTTAAAAAGTGCACTTTCCATCACCATATCCCCTTAGGGACTCCATAGAGCACTAGTAATCCAGATTTGGAAATAAGAAAAAGTGTGTATCTAGAATAGATCATCGTTTGAGGGAACACGCACATTAAGCTTAAAGTTTAAAGTCCTCAGCACTCTTCAACATCGTCCGAGTCGTCCGTTTTTCCAAGTATTTTTTTTATAAAATAAAAGTTAGCAACATAAATGTGAACCTACACTTTATATTTGTCATATAGGTTATATGTACCATATATAGGCCTAGGTTTACCTTGCAGGAATTAATAGATTTATGCACAGATGTTTATTTGATAGTGTATAAGCTCTTGATAACGATTGCTTATCGATTGGCTCTACCACTATTTTCATCTTGGAAAAAAGATTCAATTGACCTGAGGTACTGATTATTCTGTGAAGACGTTTCCAGGTGTTTTTAACTTTTTTAATGTGGACATTGCTCTGACATTTTTGTGATTTGCTGAAAACAAACAATACACACGTGTTTAATGTTCAAAATGCATTTATATGGGTTAAAATGGCAGGCAATAAAAAGTATAAAGCCTTTGTCCACTTTATTTTTCTTCCCTTTGGACACAGGAGTTACAGGCATGTTTGCAACCTGTTTTGTTGGAGAAAAATTCAGTGGCACTGCCCTCTGCTGGTAAATATAGGTATGAAGCATTATTGAACTTTTGACAATAACAAGGGCAGCATGACAGCTCAGTGGGTAGCACTGTTGCCTCACAGCAAGAAGGTCCCCAGTTGGAGTCCCGGAGCCAGGAGACCTTACTGTGTGGAGTTTGCATGTTCTCCCTATGTATGTGTGATAATTTTGATATAATAACCGGTAAAGACCCCCTTTAACCACTTAACGTGTTTAATTAGTGTAGTTTATTATGGAGACCGAGACTATTGTATATTGGAGAACAACATGTTTACTAGCTCTCATGTAGAGCTCGCATCACTCAAAACTTGTATATCAAACTTATCTAACCAGCAGGGGGTAATCCAACACAGGAAAAAGCATATATGAACATAGCTTCCTTAAACACATCTTAACCATATCTTAAAGGGATACTCCACCCCAAAATGAAAATATTGTCATTAATCACTTACCCCCATGTCGTTCAAAACCTGTAAAAGCTTAGTTCGTCTTCGGAACATAACTTAAAATATTTTGGATGAAAACCGGGAGGCTTTTGACTGTCCCATTGACTGCTAAGTAAATTACACTGTCAAGGTCCAGAAAAGTATGAAAGACATCGTCAGAATAGTCCATCTGCCATCAGTGGTTCAACCGTAACTTTATGAAGCGACGAGAATACTTTTTGCACGTGAAGAATATGTGAAGAGCGATGTCTGGGTTTATCTTCATTGAATATGTCACAGGTAGGGTGCCTCATCATCAAACAGGTCAGCATACTCCGTGAATATTTCTTGTGACAGGTTTACATTTTTGT